TTGATCAGAACGCAACCGTAAGTTTATGTTCGCAAAATTCATACTAAAAAAAGTACATATTCAGAGACGAAACGGTTAAAAATATACTTAAGCTTTTAATTATTTCTAGCACTGCATTACGTGCTGTTAGCCTATAGTTCGACGCCGAGGCAAATTTGAATACCGAAACCGTGTCCCTTTAAGATACAGCCGCTTTAACTCTTCCGCAGCCGGCAATTCTAGGGCACATAAACCTGGGAGCTGTGTCCAACGTCTAAAATCTAGAACTGTCGCTGAAACAGGCGTGTAAATACGGGAAGCTTACTTTAAAATATCACGCTCCTAACCGTTTCTAACTGGATAGAAACAAACTGCGAAGTAAATTAGAAATGTAGCAATCTATTAAGTATTCCTGTCGGCATCACCCAGCATCGAACGTGATGAGAAACGGCACTGTAACATCGACAACAAATGTGTTCCACCGTAACTGAGCCAATCAATAAGTTTAACTTGATGGAAGGAAGACACGAATTCCATTGAGAGGAATTATAAATGCTTCCGAACAGCGCATCACCTCGTGCATCTGCTGAAAATTGCAGCGGATTTGAATCTATGAATGCTTGACTGTTGCTTCTAGAGTTTAATTTACAGTCATAAAATCCCTGAAGTTAATTAACCTTCGACGCGAACATCCTAATCATTTTTCTTATAAATAATAAGAAATGAAACTGAATTGTGCATAAAAAACTGCATACAGAACTATGATTGACACAAAACTGATTATATAACCGTTAAAACTCCTGTATTTTCGTAACAGACAGATGTAACGTTTTAAGATTCAAATAATATTGTTCGACGACACCTTTTTCTGACCTTTGAGAGACAGAAAATCATTTATATTTTTATCAAAATTAGAATTTAACGTTATTATACTGTATTATCCTCTAATTCTAAGGCTTGTTTGTATTTTCTTTAGAAATAATAATTATTAATAGTATTAATGTATGCTGATGTTAACGTGTGTATGATACAATTCCATAGATAGACAAATGAAACTATAATTTAATCAATCTGCGCAGGACACCCTGTATACAGGGCAAGAAAGTAAATCAATGTCGAGAAGCTTAATTTTCACTACGGCACGTACCACGGCAACATGCGGAACGGAAGGTCAATCATGTGTCAGTTCGATAGATTTGAAGAGGCTTTGAATATTCCCCCTAATAAGAGGTTAGGTTAAGTTTTGGTAGGGTTCTCAGCCTCTGTAATTATCAGGAAATGTACTCTAATTGTATAGAAATTGCCTATGATTATAAAAGAGACAAAGCAATAACTTACGTGCAATGATCAGACAAAGCAATAACTTACGTGTCAAGGCAAAGAGACCACACAGTGTTAGTGTCAAGGGGAAAAGCACATACGTTCCTTTTAACCAGTTAACTGTGGAATTTAATTTGAAAAATTTCTCATTGTGCTCGCAATAAGATCAAATAGTAAAGCGTATACTCATCAGACGCGGAGCAAATGCATCTATAATATATTCTAACGAAAAACTAAAGCAAAACAAAGAAGAACTACACATTCATCTGGAGAAATAAATAATTTATCTTTGAAAAAATTAGTACCATTTTGCGTTTTAAGGTGACGTATATACTCGTCAAACACAGTTAACAGGTGGATGAAGAAAATATTTAATTCACGTTTTAACCATTTACACTCGTATAATCTCTAGTCAAGTTTCGTAAAAAAATGTATTTTACCTTTATAATATAATTCTTATAATAATTATTCTTACAAAGATTAATAAACCTTTTACTAAGAAAAATTAACTTCCTCCAGGTAACCAGGCCTACAAATGAGACCAGAAAGTTGAAACTCTGAATCACTGTTCTCGATCTTGCGATAAAATCTCGAACACGTTCAAATCGCTGAAACAATTAGTCACTGAACACTTTAGTACGTGTTAAGAGGTAATGTTTGATGATAAAATCTCTGCATTAATTTTCAGACCTAAAACTGTCGAAACCCTCCAATTGATCATAGTTCAAATTGCCATATACACATACCAGTTTTACGAATAAACCATTTACACATCTGTAACCATTAAAAATGATTATCAATGGACATTACGTTAACACTATAATTATTACATTTACAACAAAGTACATAAAACAGTTAATTTCTTTTATATCAACATTATATTCCTATCACTTCGAATAATCAGAATAAATACTCCAAAAAAATTAATGTTCATAATCGTTGGTTATTTTTCTTCATATTGCTGAATCAATTTTCACTCTCATTATCCTCGTCTCCTTCCAAGATTAATATATACGATTTTTAATCTGGTCTACACCTGTTTAAGTAGGTCGCGCGTAGCGTGCCTCATCATTCGAGTGGTAAACTGGGTTATTCGATGGCGAATGGGCTGTGACACCCCGTTAAAGAATACTTGATCCACCACCTTTCGTTCTTCATGACGAACGACGGATTAAAAGAGAGTTGAAACGACGAGGTCGACCGTCAATTTCGGGAAAACTTTAATTCGAACAATTAGACCGTAACCTTGGACACGGTTTACCGTCCCCATTGGCTGCGTGCTACGAGCGTGTCTGCTATTCTCGCTACTGGCAGACGCCAAACGTAAACAAAATCAACGATAACGACATACGATGGTCGCTACAACGACCAAGATACGACGAACCCAGAGCACCAAAATCGGAGTTGGATAAAATACCATTTGATTATATTACATTTTAGAAGTAATAATTAAAACGCAAGTTTCAATCGATTTCAATAATTTTAATGAAGTACAACACCTGTAATTATTAATTAGAGCTCACCGTAATCACTTCGATTTGAATTATATAATAACTTGATAACTGATATATAATTGATATAATAACTTAATAACGACGATCAACGAAACTAATTGCAAAAGATAATTTATGGAATCAACTGTTATATTTGAATAAAGCAGATTATATTTTATTCAATTATGCTTGGAATCTAATTATTCTTTTAACCACTATTGCAGAGCAATTTTGAATTTGGAGGGTATAATAAATTTAATTAACATCGATGCGGATTATGGATACATGTTTGAGTTTAAAAGAATATTAAATAATGCCTATATAATTTGAAACTTGAGGAAATTGAGGTAATCTTGTGCAGGTAAGTGATGTTTGTAGGGACTTTGCGAAGATATAGATTTTTATAAGATGTAACTTTTGATACTTTGCAGTGTAATGAGTTCCTGATTTGTATCCTTTGTATACGGAACCAAAATGTTCATAGTATTTGAAGTTTTAATATTCGACATTTTTTATAGAAATGTTCGTTATGTGAAAAGTATTCAAAGAATGAAGAGCAAGAGAAATTGCAAAATATTCTGACAGGAACAGAAAAGAATTGGCACTGCAATGGAAATACACATAGTCACTCAGTGATTCGCGAAAGGGTTGAAACACGTGAGTGTGCAAAACAGAAGGGAACAAGTATTTCAATAAAATGTCATGTACCTTTAAATTCTTCGGATTCTCAGAAAACTCTGCTTCGAAAAATGCTACCAATCTTTCATTTTAGAATTCTTACGAGTTTCGCATACCCTTGAACTCCGCAGTAACCGAATTAAAGGTAAATGTCAAGGATTCTCCGACATAAAGTCACAGAAGTTAATCCCTCGTTTTATAATGCCGAGCCAGACACGTGGCGAAGACATTTAATTGAATTTAATCAATAAAGGTGCACTTCAAGTTCGTAGCAAGAAAAATACCATTTTGCATTTACAAATATTAAACTATTATCAGCTTAAGTATTTACGCGATTTACTTTCTTGTTACAAAAACTCAGAAAACAAGATGTTAAAAAACAAGTCCACAGAAACGTCCCTGCAAACCTAAAGTTTACCTTAAACTCCACAGTGACAACAAAACGTCAAAGACACACCAACACACAATCACAAAAACCAAAGAAACACAGACTCCCCAAGTACCTAAAAGATTCCTCCCTACGCAGTAACTTCCACCCCAAACATCACACTAACCCAATAAAAATCAAATATAAGAAGCACCCCAACGCACAACCACAAAAACCAACAAACCACCCCAACATTCCCCAGGACCATCCTCAATAAAAACCCC